TCACCTAAAAAGAATGGCTCAGGTTTGGGAATCACCCTAACATGCTCAGCCAAGAAGACCAAAGCAAATAATTCATTTAGTTTCTTTGCAGTGATCTTATCATCTTTGAGTGTTCCTTTAGCATCTCAGTTGTCCAGTGGCCCCACTGTTTGTTTTGCAGGCTTACTGCTTCTGATGTATTTAAAAAACATGTTGCTATTACTCCTTCTTGGCTTTCCTTATTAGAGTTCTACATTTAATTTGATAGAGTTTATGCTCCTTTCTATTTTCCTCACTAGGATTTGACTTTCACTTTTTAAATTATGCCTTTTTATCCCTCACTGCCACAATGGCACTTTTTTGGTTCTCTTACTGTGTTTTGTAATATGGGGTATACATTTAAAATGAGCTTGTGTTAGGAAAAGTCTCCATGCAGTTTGCAGGGATTTCGGTTTTGGCACTGTACCTTTTAATTTCTGTTGAACTAACCTCCTCATTTTTGTGTAGTTCCCCTTTCTCAAATTAAATGCCACAGTGTTGGGCTGCTGACATGTTTTTCCACCTTGGGGTTGTTAAATTTTATTACATTATGGTCACTATTTCCAAGTGGTCCAATTATATTTACCTCTTGGACCAAGTCAGCCTTCTAACTGTTGTAAAACTGAATATTGTCTGTCCTGGGTTTTAGGCCAGAGACAGTTTTATTTTATTTTAGCGGGGTGCGGGGGTGTAGGGGGAGTGTGAATTAATTGTACATTTAATTGGGCAGAAGGAAACATTTAGTCTAGAAAACAGAAGGCTATGGTGGGACTTGATAATAGTCTTCAAATATGTTTAAGGGCTGTTATAATGAGGACAGTGATCAACTTGTTTTCTCATACATTGAGGATAAGACAAGAAGCAATCAGCTTAGTGTACAGTCATGTAGCTTTAGGTTGGCTATTAGGAAAAAAACCTAACTATAAGGGTATTTAAGCACTTCAAGTTTACCTACAGGATCGTGGTATCTTCATCAATGGAGGTTTTTACCATATTAGAAAAAACACGTGTTAGGGATGGTCTAGGGTTACTAAATCCTGCCTCAATATAAGAGGGAGAACTGGATGACCCCATTAGGGCCCTTCCATCCCTACATTTCTATTTTTCAGGGTGGGCTGAAATTTAATCCATGTCTATTTGATGCTGATGCTCAGTGGTATGATTTTCAGCAATAGGAAAAGCACAGGCAAGAGAAATGTGTGGATTAAATAAAACACATTTAATTTAATCACATTGTTAGCACCACTGTATAAGTGATATGAGTGTGTGTACATAAATGTATGTAATCCATGCACATTACACATATGTATGCTAAAATATACACGGAAACATACTCTACAAAGGCACCTTCAGCTTCTGGGTTTTGATAGAAGATTTAAAGTTAGGCAAGCAGCCAATAAAGTTGTCTGAGAATGGTCTTTAAAAACTATACATTTATTCTTTACTTACAGCAACAGCGCAACTCTGCTAGTTACAAACAGCTTCTGAAATCTTTGAAAAATATCTGTCTTAACTAGTAGTTTCTGTAGTGAAGGCTGGACCTTAATGCCTGTAATGGAGAAACTTTAACCTCCTCCAGAAATTAAAGTTTTTTCCATTTTAATTGGTCTGCTCTCAATTTCCATCATTATCATTTATACCAAAGTGTCAACAGAAAAGAGGTTAAAGTGTTGCTGTTGAGCTTTTTCATTTTAGCTAATGTATTCACCAAGACTGACAATTAAACATTCATTTATTAAAATGTCAAGAACATTAAGAGTCTGACTTAGTTTATTTCTCACTGTTTTTCCTTAATGAAAAAGCAACCACAGTATTTGCTGTAAGAATGGATTGTCCTTTAAATTAACCTTGCCAGAACAGTAAAGGAAGGCTTGAATATCAAATCAGCAATATTCTGATGAGAAAGAAAACACAGCATCCGTAATATCAACATCAGAAGTGTCCAACCGTTTTAGCCTGAGGACTGAACATAGTATTTTTTTTAAAGGAGACAATCAACACTGTGAGGTAGACTCTCTGCCATATTCTGCAAATGTTGTGCTCTTCAGATGGTGAAAAGGCAGCAAAAGCTACCACCCTGGTGGCAGTGTTGCACTATGGTGACAGACATGCCCCTAATGGCTGAGCTCCTGCAGGCTCTGCTCAGCCCAACCTTGCTCACTACTTGGAGTGACAGTGACAGGAAACTTCTCCTCCCTTCCTACAGCAGTTAGAGCAGCAACATGGTACACTCTGTCCTATCAAGAGTGAGCAGCAGGTCTTCTTTGCCTGTTCAGCAGAAAAGGTTGACAATAAGAGGGTTCTCCCTTACCTACCCTCTAACTGCTGGGGTATCTGCTTGGGTACAAGGGCTGGGACTACAGCACTCTTTGCCTTTGGCCACACACAGGCTGCGCCTAGACTGGCATGATTTTGCGGAAATACTTTTAATGGAAATGTTTTTCCGTTAAAAGTATTTCTGCAAAAGCGCGTCTAGATTGGCACGGATGCTTTTGCACAAAAGCATCCATGGCCAATCTAAACGCGATTTTGAGCAAGAAAGCCCCAATCGCCATTTTAGCCATCGGGGCTTTTTTGCGCAAAACAGTTCTTCCCTGTCTACACTGGCCCTCTTGCACAAGTATTCTTGCGCAAGATGGCTTTTTCCCAAGCGGGAGGGTGAAAGTATTTGTTCAAGAAGCACTGATTTTGTACATTACAAAGTCAGTGCTCTTGAGCAAATTCAAATGGCCAGTGTAGACAGCTGGCAAGTTTTTGTGCAAAAGCGGCCACTTTTGTGCAAAATCTTGCCAGTCTAGACGCACCCCCAGAGTATTCAGTTGAAGTGGCATCAGCAGAGGTCCTCAAAGCATCGGGGCTTGGAACTGACATGTCACTGTGAATCATGGAACATTCATGCCTCAAAGCTATTATTGCAGGCTTTCTCTTGACTCAGTTTACACTGCTATTGGTTACATCTGAAGCACATTTTCAATATTTTTCTTCATCCATGAGGGCTAGAAACTTACTTTAAAAAATGAAAATTGAAATTTTATGTAACCACCTGACTCCAGGAAGTGAGGCCCTAGGAATAGTCCCCAGGCTTTAATCCATTCCCGAGTGTGTGGCAGTCCCCAGTGGGCACAGAACCAGTGTTGCTTGCTGCTATATCTCTGACCAAAGACTCTAGTGCAGAGGACATGGCAGTGGTGACAAGTGGCATCCTGGGCAGGGAACGTAAGTAGGACGATTATAATGCACTTTGGTAAATAAAACTTGCTGGCACAGGTTAGACAAATTCTCCATGCTGCTCTAAACTATGTGGGATAGATAAAATTGTTGTTGGACCTCTGATTATCTTAATTTTATCTCCTAGTTTGCCCTAGGTGACTGTATAGGAAGGGAGCAGCTAGCCACTCTTCTGCACTAGTTAGAGTTACTTAGGATACTAATCTCATTCCCCCATCCAGGACATTTGCGCCAATAGGTAAGCAGACAATGAAAAAGCATCATGATGAGGGAAATGAGGAGCAGCTGCTCAGAGCACATGCAGCTCACATAAGAGCTGCTCCATGTGCTCCTGGAAAAATGACACCCCTGTCTACTTCTCTATCTTGTCTAACTCAGAAACATCTATTTAAATACTGCAGGACACAGCTCAAGGAACACATATGCAACATGTAAACAGATATAAATTGTCTTCTAACACAGTCAACTTGCTGGGTCACATTTTGGACACCAGTGATCTCTATTTGGAGAGGTGGAAATAACATCTCTCTGTCTAAGCAGCCATTCATAATGAGTCCAACACCTTATTTAACAGAGGCTATGTCTACATCATGGGGCTTTATCAGAAAAAGGTATGCAAATTGCGCTCCGCAATTTGCATACCTTTTTCCAATAGATTTCGGAAGAAGCTTTTCCAAAATTTGGTATGTCTTCACTGGGCCAAATTTTGGAAAAACCTCCTCTTTCGGAGGAAGAAAGCACTTTCAAAAGAGCGCATCTGCTCTTCTGAAAGAAAAAAAAAAGGCGGAAGAGCCGATGTATTCCCTGGATGCGGAGGAGAGTTTTAAAATGGAAAGTATTTTAAAAGTCAGTTATTGTTTTACAAAAATGCAGCAATCCAGAGTATTTTGTATGGCTCAAAACTAAATAAATAATATTAGAAAAAAAGTTACATAATGCAGTCATTGTAAAGTTAAGACAAACAACATTTTGAATTTTAATAGATGTATATTTCTTTTAATCTATAGCTTCACTAACCTGTAGTAATGAACTGAATTTTAAATTAATCATTTCACAAATCACACCCATCATATAATCACATTAAATTACATATAAAATATTCTCAACAAAATTTTAACATCATTGTTTTAATTACAGGTACATTTACAAAAATAAATTGACCATCACTGTAAAATTATAGGTTGAACCTCTCTCGTCCAGCACTGTCTGGTCTGACAACATCTATGGTCTGGCATGATTTTAGTTAGCTGGATATTCACTTATCATGAATGTGGTGGTCCCATAAATTTTGTTTACAGCCATCAGTATTGGCTCTCAGCACTCTGTGCTCTTATTTAGCTGTAATTTAGCTCTTCTAAGAGCCTGGTAAGATGTGGAAGTGTTGGTAATACTGCTAGACCATACTGACTTCCCATGGTTCAGCAAATTCTCTGGTTCAGCACCAGTCATGTCCCAAGGGTGCCAGACTAGAGAGGTTCAACCTGTATAAGATATAGGCAGGCCTCATTAATAAATACAGAATATTTCTTCGTACTGGAAATATTATAGAAATGTGCTCATTAGGGACATCATCCAACTTCCAGGTTATCTAGTATTTATTCAGGCAATACTTACTGGTTATGAGCTGATTTTACAGGAATAGATTATCTATTTGTGGGCTGGTTTGTGCTAAACCAGATTAAGCTGAGGGCATTATTAATGTTGTTAAATGTTAGGAACCTATAGGCTACCTTGGTTATATGTTGTAGACCTACCTTGTGAACTTTAAATAGAACCTCACAGAGGTGATAGATTTTTTCAGCTCGTATCCAGTCTAGTGTGCTTACCTGTAATACCAAAAAAACAAAAAAAGGATCCATTAAGAGGACTTTTTTTTTCTTTAATGGCAAGGATTTAAAGCATTTAAGCACATTTCACTAAAGATTATTCTGCTGGATGGTTTAATCAAATGCCAAGCAATTTCAATTAATAGTATTAACCTAATATCTGATATAAAAAAAAGAGCTCCAATGGTCTCCTGTATTCATTAATACAGCATCCACTGTATTCTTACAACTAAAATATGTTAATTGTAATGATCTGTTGTATTCTTACTTAAGCAGTAAGGAATCGTCCTAGCAATTTCTTTGGTAAGGTAAATCACTACTATTTATTTTATAACACGCTAAGACAAAGAACAGTCTCAGAGCCTGATTAATCAAGGCACGGGTCTACTATAGGCAAATCTCATTGAAATCAGTGGAACTACTCAAGTTCGTACGCACAGGCCTGTACGTAAGTAAGTTACTACATTTTATGTTAGAAACTGAATGGAATGACTATATTTTAATCTCTCTCTTTCTCTCTCTTTATATATATATATCTATTAGAGTGTATCTGTCTGTAAGTCTGTTTGTTCAAGAACTCCCCCTAAACAGTAAGAGCTAGGGCAACCAAATTTAGTATGCAGCTTCCTCTTCTCCTACCTTAAAGCAAGGTCAGGATTTGATTGTTCCAAGACAACCAGAAGCCCAGAGAAAGGGACTGTTTTCAATAACATGCAAAGGGAGGGACTGCTATTTAGAGACATTTGATAGAGATTGACCACTGGGGGACAGTGAGCCAACAGGGGAGAGCTATTCTACAGAGTGTCCTCTGGGGCAGCCATACCCCCAAGGGAGTAGCCAGCAGGGCTGGGGCTCCACCATCTTGCCTGACAACACATAGGATATGTAAATCCTTTCCCTCACTCCCAGCCCTTGGCTGCAGCATCGCGGGGAGGGAGGATGAAGAAAAAAGACTTCTGGTGGCCAGGAGGGGGGCATGGTGAATCAAATACTGCAACGTCCTTCCTCTATCCTTATATATAAGGAAATCCCATTATCTTTGATGGAGTTTGGGGTTGAATAAAGAGCAACTATGAAAAATTAGATCTAGGAAAATCCTTAGTTCTTATCACTGGTAAGAGGAAAATAATAAGTAGGAGATCTAATTATGTCTTTAGTGACCTCCCCACCGGCAAGTTGCATTTCCCCACATCTTTTGCTTTGATTCTTAAGATAAATAGTTATGAAGAAGCATATCATAAAACAAAAAGTTTTTAATGCAACACTAGGGGGAACTGAATTTAAAATATTGTATTACAGCCCAAACCTAATGCAAATCCAACCCCCCTTTGAAGTCTGTGGAAAGACCTTTGGATCGGATTCTGGAAATCTACCAAGAAAAATATTAACAAATTGGAGTGCATTCCGAAAAAGATAAACCAAAATGATTACTCTGAACTTAGCAGCATCTCACTTTGTGGCAGTAACTTTAATGAAGAACAAGTTGAACAAGGCAGGACAAATCACCTAAGGCTGAACTGACAAGATGACACATTCTTTGTCAAAATGACTGGCCTACAGCTCTGAGAAGTATGTGATTTAGCTCATGCTACACCAGATGAGTTATAAGAATGGACCTGTTCACAGAGTTTGTTTTCTAGATCTTTGGAAGTTCTCAGCATAGCACCTGGTCTCTTATAGAAGTCCTAAAGTTTGCAGGAGGAAAATAATTCTCTACACTCCAAAACAAAGGAAAAAGCAAACAGAATAACCCTGCAGCCCACAAGCCAGTCCATGCTCACGTGTGTGTTTTTAAGATGACAAAAATTGAATAGTTTCTCTCAACAGGGATAGGAATTCCTATCCTTTTGTGCATCTGAAAGGCCCAGACTGAGAGTTATAATGAATATCAAAGCAAAGCAAAGATCCTGTGTCCTATCCAGAATACCCAGGTGACAGAGATTTCTAGGTAAACAACTCCTGCTCTGTGATGTTGGGAACTCTATTCTCCAGGTGTTTCCCCCTAAGTGCAACAGGGGTTCTGGAACAATGTTTATAGTGGGGATACTGAGAGTCATTGAACTGCAATCCTGTATATGATAGAAAGCCACTTTAAGTCAAGAGGTGCAGCAGCACCCCCAGCACCAGTATGTATGAGCGCAAACCCTGTGGGACTTAGATTTTTTTTTTAGGATCTGTCTCTCTTCAAATACAACAGGCCTTATACATGCACCGAGATGGGTTAACAGTGCCCAGGGGAGCTCTTTAACCCCCACTGCTTGACTGGGGTGGGAACCTGTTCCACCACAGGTCATGATAATGGGACAGTAGATGAGACACAGAAAGTGCCTGACCAAGACTTAAAATAGGTTGTGGACATTTTTGAAGGTCCTGGGAGACACTAACCACGTAGTAATGCTGGAGAAACTGGGGAGAGGAGGAAGAAATGGTCACACATGCTCAACTTAAACCTTTTACAGTACTGATGACAGAGAAATGTAACTGATGCTCTAGCTTCTTCACTGAATACTGATGTCCTTTAGTCTGCCAAGCTCTCTTAGCTCTTCATGAAAAGTTTTCAGTGGCAAACAGGAAACTGAAGTGTTAGTTAAAGTTGTTTGTACTGGGAATGCAAAGTTTTACATAGAGAAGATGGGTTTATGTGGCTGCTCTGCAACCCTTCTACCCAGCTAGTCCTTTTCTCCAGCCTTGATCACTCAATGTCCAGATTTATACACCTTTTCTATCCTGCCACATTAAAAAAATAATAGGAAATAACATAAGAACCTTTCTTAGGGTATGTCTACACTACAAAGTTAGTTCGAACTAACAGACGTTAGTTCGAACTAACTTTCATAGGCGTTACACTAGCGCTCCGTTAGTTCGAATTTAAATCGAACTAACGGAGCGCTTAGTTCGAACTAGGTAAACCTCATTCCACAAGGATTAAGCCTAGTTCGAACTTACTAGTTCGAATTAAGGGCTGTGTAGACCCTTAATTTGAACTAGTGGGAGGCTAGCCCTTCCCAGGTTCCCCCTGGTGGCCTCTCTGGGCACAACCAGGAAAACTCTTCTCCTCTCCCCCAGCCCCGGGCCCTTAAAGGGGTAGACTCTGGCCAGATGGCACTGGAGACAGACAGCCCTGCCAGCAGTGTCTACCCCTGACCGAGTGGCCCCACCATGAGCCAGGCAGCCAGTGGCAGCGAGCCGTCCCCTGCCCAGTCCCCGAGCACCCAGGGGCCAGCCAGGGCCCGTAGACTGCGCGCGGCCCCCTGGACTAGTGCGGAGGTCATGGACCTCATTGAGATTTGGGGGCAGGCCCCAATCTCCAAGATCTCCGCACTAGGAGGAGGAACGCGGCCGTCTACGGCTGCATAGCGACTGCCATGGCCCGAAAGGGACACAGGCGCACCTAAGAGCAGGTATGAATTAAACTGAAGCAGCTGCGGCAGGGGTACGCCAGGGCCACCAGGGGCGGCGCCGCTGCAGGGGATGACACCTGCCCCTACTTCCCCGCCCTCCACCAACTCTTGGGGGGCAGGGCGGTCCGAATTAGTTAGTTCGAATTAACGTTGTAGTGTAGACGTACCCGGGGAGTTCACGACAGGCCAGTGTGGGGCTTTTAGGCCTGGAAGCTGCCTGCTACTCTCTGCCTCCAGCATCCGGGGAACAGCCGGGCCCGTTTGTGCTGACTCGGGAGGTTGCGCCCTGACAGGAGGGAATCGCACCATCGATGTCTCAGTCAGTCTCCTAGCAACCCCGCCAGGCCTCAGGGAACTGGCCAATGAGTCCCGGCCCCCAGCAGGTAGTGAAATGGACAAGGCCACGGAATGGGCCCGACGTGTCTCCTGGGAGGGAGTGGGGGGTCTGGTGGTTTCAAGAGGGTGGGGGACCTACATATTAGGACTCCGGGGTTCTGCAGAGAAAGCAGGGGAGCTAAGGATGGTCCTCTTTCCCCTGCAGCTCAGGGTCCCTGCAGTGCAAGCTTGATCGTGGTGGGAGCATCGGCGCGTCCCCTCGCCGAACCACGGTCACCGGACGCTGAGTCAAGTGCACCACCAAAACAAAGAAGTCATTAAGCACC